AATGTCTGAGAGCCACTCACATGGAAAATCATCAGTGATGGATGCTGCAGAAATAATTCTTGTACAGGTGAGACCATATCACTCCCGAAACACATGTTCCAACTCTAAGTTTCTAAGCTACTCTTTAAACTAGGATTACCTCTGCTGTTAACTATTTAGTCATTTTTGACGTAACTCTCATGTGGCCCTCTGCTAAGAGCATGAAGGTACTTAGGGTGTGAAGCATGAGAAGCTGGAAATGGCCAGAGGTAAATGTCACAATGTCTTCTGGGCCTTTTATCTTTCAAGGTTGACACAGAAAAATGGGCATAGCCTGGTCCAGCTACAGGCAGAAGGCTCTGCTTGTCTGTCCTCTTTTAAAGCCTTTCCAGACCTACACAACTACCACCAGCCCTTCTCCTGTCTCCCCTTTGCCATGCTCCTAAGCCCTCTTTCTCACCTGCTCTCACCTATTTTACGTGGAAGCAGAAATCATGAAAAATGGCATGTGCTTATGGAAACCTCCACAATAGTAGCAATTTTAATGAGTTCCTATCTCGACTGTGGCTATCTTGACTTGCCCCCAGACAGATAAGAAGAACCTCTCTTGTCTCTGGTTCTCCTTGTGCCTCTGGGTATGAGGTTAAACCTGAGATTATCTGTTCAGATGACAAAACCTCAAGCCTCGGGCAGCCATGTCCTTGGCAAGACTATCTGAGCTGCTAGTGAATGCCTAGGAAAGACCACAGGTGTCTGAGCTTTGGGGACATATAGCACTGGCGGGTCTTTAGAGACACATATCCCTTCCAGATGAGGGAGACTGACTAGGAGAGAGCCATTCAGGACAGGGCATGCGAGGGTGAGCGGTAGAGATTGGAAAACTGTGGCCTTGGGCTATTTCCACTATAAATAAGATGCAAGAGCAACCAACCAAATGGGAGAAGATTTTTGCAAACAATGCAGCCAATGAGGGGCTAATATCCAAAATATATAAGGAATTCATACAACTCAAAAACAAAAAAACAAACAATCCAATTAAAAAATGGGCAGAGGACCTGAATAGACATTTCTCCAGAGAACATACAGATGGACAATGGACATATGAATTAATGCTCAACATCACTAATCATCAGAGAAATGCAAATAAAAACCACAGTTAGAATGGCTTTCATCAACAAGACAAATACTAAGTGTCGGAGAGGCTGTGGATAAAAAGGAACCCTTATACACTGTTGGGAATGCAGATTGGTGCAGCCGCTTATGGAAGGCAGTGTGGAGATTTCTCAAAAAACTAAGACTAGAATTACCATATAACCCATCAATCCCTCTCTTGGGTATCGACCCAAAAAATCTGAAAGCATTTATCCATAAAGATATATGTACTCCGATGTTCATTACAGCTTTATTTACAGTGGCCAAGACATGGAAACAACCAAAGTGTCCTTTGATAGATGATTGAATAAAGAAGTTGTGGTATATATACACAATGAAATACCATTCTACCATAAGAAAAGATGAAATAATGCCATTTGCAACAATATGGATGGATCTTGAGATTGTTATGCTAAATGAGATAAGTCAGACAGAAAAAGTTGAGAACCATATGCTTTTACTGATATGTGGTATATAAAACTGAAAACAACAAAAGAACAAGAAAAACAAATGAAGAAACAAAATGCATAGACACAGAAAATAGTTCAGTGGTTACCAGAGGGTAAGGGGGGATGGGGGATGGTAGAAGAGGGTAAAGGGGATCAAATATATGGTGATGGAAAGAGAACTGACTCTGAATGGTGAACACACAATACGATATATAGATGATGTATTACAGAATTGTACACTTGAAATCTATGTAACTTTACTAACCATTGTCACCCCAATAAACTAATTAAAAAAGGGGGGCAATTCTCAAGCCATACCCCCCCCCTTTTTCCAGCCCCTTTGAAATTGTAGGGGCAATTGCAAGATCTTAGGACCTCTCTGCAATTGTTAATAATTCTGTTTATATGTATATGATCTCTGAAATCTGTGTTTGTCTGTGTTTTATATATGATGTATTGTTTTTGCCTCCAATTGGTATTACCAGATTATATTTGATCAGCTTAAAGAAAAAGATTAAGCACTTATATAAATTAAACAATAAAAACCAGCTCAAGTACTTTTCAGGAAAAAAAAATAGGATTCAAGGGCCGGCTGAGTGGTGTGTTGGTTAGGAGTTGGCTTGGGACGCCAGCTCTGAGCAGCAGGGCCCTGGTTCGGATCCCATATGAGGACCAGTGACTCTGCGTCCTCTACAGCTAAGATGGTGAACAACAGCTCCACCTGGAACTGGGCTGCTGTGAGTCGCCAGCGATGGTGTAGGCTGCAGTGGGGCTGGCTGACAGTGGGCATGAGCTTTCATGAGCTTTCGTGAGCTGCCGTGAGCAGCCATTCAATGGCCAGCAAGCGACTGCCTCACCTGGGAAGAGCGCAATGATAATACCAACATGGGCCAATGAAGCAACGTCCTCCACAACTAGACTGAAGAACAAAAGGACAGCAACTTGTATGTTCCCCTTCACTGATTCCCCAAGGCTGTTCCCTCTCCCAATTCCCCAATAAAATCTTAAAAATAAAATAAAATAAAAAACACGATGTGAGACTGCTGAAGTCTCCCACTTTGTTGAAGAGTTTAAAACACCTTTGATATTTGTAATTTGTTTAGAAACAGAACAAAAATATTTTTGTTTTATGTGTAAAGAGATCGTTTAATAATAAAATGTGCTTGTATGAGAAATTTTGTTTTTTGGTGTATATATCCTTTAGCTTATCTCCTTATCAGCATTTCCATTTAATATATAAAAACAATGCAGTAGGAATCAAAGGCCTTGTGCCATCTCTCCTTTTTTAGTTTTATCTTCCTTCTCTATTCCGTTTCCAGTTGTCTTCTCCCTATGCTATGGACTGAATTATGCAGCCCCCCATTCATATGCTGAATCCTTAACCCCTAATGTAGTAATATTTATAGATGGTGCCTTTGAAAATTAGGTTTAAATGAGGATGGGGCCCTCTTAATGAGATTATTGCCCTTATAAGAAGAAACATCAGAGAGCTTGTGGTCTCTCTGTCTGCCATGTGAGGACACAACAAAAAGGCAGCTGTCTGCAAACCAGGAAGAGAGTTCTTACCAGAAATGGGCCATGCTGGCACCTTGATCTTGTACTTCCGGCCTCCAGAACTGTGGCGAAATAAATGTCTGTTAAGCCACCCAGTCTGTGATATTTTGTTATGGCAGCCTAAGTAGATCAGGATACCCCACCCCTCTTTCTCTGCTATTATTCCCTTCTGAGAGGGCAGAGACAGAGGATGTAGACCTTGTGTCTATATTTGCCTATGTAACACCTCCCTGCTGCATGTTTGCCCCTTTATCATTAGAATTGGGTGAACAAAGTATTCTACTTATATTGCATTATTTTAAAAAATAAACTGGGCCAGCAGAGTGGCTCAGTTGGTTAAGAGCACAAGCTCTGAGGAACAGGGTCACCAGTTCGATTCCCACATGGGCCAATGAGTTGCATCTGAGCTGAGCTGCCACTGAGGGGCCAACAGGTGGCAGGATGGCTCAGTGGTTAGTGTGCACTCTTAGCAACAAGGTTTCCGGTTTGACTCCCACATGGGATGGTGGGCTATGCCCACCCGCAACTAAGGTTGAACACGGCACCTCTAGCTGAGCGGCCTCAAGCTGCCGTTGGGCGGCTGGATGGTGACTGGACTTGGAGCTGAGCTAGCTGTGCCCTCCACAACTAAGATTGAAGAACAACAACTTGTCTGTCCCCCTTCCTCAATTTCCCAACCACTGTTCCCCTTCCCTAATTCCCCAATAAAATCTTTAAAAAAAAAAGAAAAAAAGAAAACGAAACCAAAACAAACAAACAAACATACAAACTTTTGACAATCTTGCCTTCTGGAATAGCACTAAACTCCTTTCTTCATTGTGCAAATTGGTAGAAAGGAAGGGGGGAAATGGGGAAAGAGAAGACTGAAGGAGAAGTCAAAGAGAAAGGAGAAGGTGACAGACAAGTCCACACAAGGACAGGAGCCCCAATGTACCCCTCCATCCCTGAGCCTCTCTGAGGCCCAGGCTTCCCGTCCTGTACCCCACTCCTTTCTTTAGCATCTTCTCATTGTCTCTTGCCACCACTTCCCATCTTTTCTTTCCTCTCTTTTTGAAACTCATTTTAACCCATAAGAACGTATTCTCTCAAGCCCAGATTTTCATGCCTCCACCGACTGGGGTAACAGAAAGATGATCTATGTGCTAATGGTTACGGATCAATGATCCTCACTCCCAAACAACAATGCTACATGTTAATTACAGGCATGTAAAAGGAATACATCCACCTTGGTTTCAGAGCGCTCATCTAAAAGGAAACCGGCCCAGCACTATTCAGTAGAAAAATAATGAGAGCCGCAAATGCAAGCCACAATAATATTTTTAAATGTTCTAGTAGTCATATTTTTAAAAAAGTAAATACAAACGAGTGAAATTAATTTTTAAAATGTACCTTGACACAGTATATCCCAAATGTTATCATTTTAATACATAATCAATGTTTTTATATTTAATGAGATATTAAACATATTTTTCAAACTAAGACTTCCAAATCAAATATGTATTTTATACTTACAGCACATCTCAATTCAGACTAGCCACATTCAGTTATTTAATGGTCACATGTGACTAGTGGCTACCATATTTGACAGCCCAGCTCTGGGCAGATAAAAAGAAAAGTGAGCCTCAGATGAGTTAAGGCCTACCGCCATATAGACTCCCCACCCAGGGCCTGAAAACAGAACTATTGGAGAGGCAAGAAACTAAATGCTCCTTTGAGCTCTGAGGGGTTTTTTCATTGCTTTTTTTTAAAAGGTACTCAAAACCACCATCTCCTCAAATATTGTTAGAAGTTCAAATGTTCAGACCAAACATTTCTCCATGAATTCTTGAAAGGTAGCACATTGCTAATAATAATTTCTAAGAGCAGAGGATACCGTATTTGCCGGCGTATAAGACGACTGGGCGTATAAGACGACCCCCTAACATTTCCACTCAAAATACAGGGTTTGTTATATGGTCGGCAGTGTGCGATTTTGCAAGTGTGGTAAAATCGCATAACAGCAAAATCGCATAACAGCCGAGCATACACCCAGCAGCGCTGCTGATGCCTGAACGGTATGTGGAATGAAGTGG